GGTTTGAAGTAATAAAAATATGGTCTGAATTAACAGAAATACGGTTTGAAGTTATAAAAATAAGGCTTGGAGTAATAAAAATAAGGTTTTGAGTTATGAAAATAGGGTTTGAATTAATAAAAATAAGGTTTGAAGTAATAAAAATAAGGCTTGAAGTAATAAAAATAAGGTTTGAATAATAAAAATAAGGCTTGAAGTAATAAAAATAAGGCTTGAAGTAATAAAACTATGTCCGATTAAAAAATAAATCAATTAATTCTTTAGAAAATTACTACAATGGTAACGGTGTTAAAATACGCAGACTGTAGCCGCTTGTTACAGAACTTGAACTCTGTCACGTATAAAAAAACTACGTTATAACATTCTCATACACTTCCATTGTTTGTAACAATGCTGGGAAAGAAATCGTGTAGAGTACTGTGGTATCAAGTGACCATTGCTTGTGAAGCAGTTTTGGGCCAAGTGTGAAAATGGATATATTCTCTAAATCTCCCCTCTGACAACAATTTTTTCTCCCCCCCACCACCACCTCCGAAAAAAAACAAAATGTCGCTTGAAGGCAACAAGATTTCAAAATGTCAAGGAAATCCAAGATAATGCGATGAGGTATATACTGCTTCCATCAATAAAAACGACGCTGGATAATGGATGTGACTCCAGAAAGGGGTCTACTTCGACAGAGATTAAATGCCGTATTGATATAGTTACCTTTTTTATATAGCATCAAATCCAATAATATCTGATCAGATTTCGTAAAGTTTGTAAACATTTGTAACATCTTCGAAAAGATTACCGTGTATAGTACGATCCCCTATTTTTGCGTAAAAAAGACTGATCTTATAAACTCACACTACACGGTGTTCCCTGAGAACTGCTTTCTGAAATATAATAATATTTACTGATGAATGCATTTGGCAAATCGGCCATTTCTCCATACGACAAACATGGCCCATCCCATCGGAACCTGTTTTAAAATTTGCGTGACAATAGGTAAGAAAGAGAATATATAGACCAGAGTGGGAGAAAAATGGAGTATCGTTTTTATTTTAAGCTAGCATTGGCATTATGCATTTTATTCAGTGAGCGTATTTGTAGTTCATGGTGGCATTCAGAGCAGAATAGTGCAATGGTTTGTCTGGGATGTTGAGGTTACTAGTCCTTCCTCTCAGATTTGAGGATTTATTTTTGAAGTTACCTTCTTCTAACCTTTACCTAAATAACCAGGACCTACAAGGTTTTCCTTCTCCTAGATTGGCTGTCACACAAGGCTATACAACCTAGTCATTCCTGTTATTTACTCATCAAGGCTATACGACCCAGTCTGTTCTGTTATTTACCCATTGAAGAGATGGACTCATATCTTTCCCAAAGGTATAAGCCCGTAAGTGAAAGTTAAGAACTCCGCTGGAATTCGAACTCAGCACTCCAATTCCTCAATCCGATCCGCAATCTACATTCCTTGTAGATATTGAGTTTATAGCTTCCTTCAGATTTACTCATTATATCAAGGTAAATACAGAACAGTGTATTACTTTCTTGGATACGATATTCTTTTGAGTGGTAGACATGGCAAGCAAGAAAATATGAAGCTAAAGAATATATTCCTGTAAAATAATGTTCCTTTACGTTATTAAAAGATCACAGTTACCCACCTTGCCGAGAAATTCCTTTTTTTTTTCATTGACATCAAATTAATTGTATGGCTTCCAGTCTAACCGGAAATTAATCCGTCAGAAAACTTATTTTCTACGCCTAAAATAGAGGTATACAGAAATTACCTATATGTTTTAGTCTTTTTCCCTGAAGAAAATTCCCGGTTACCCTTTGCATAATACAACCTTAGTGACAAATAAATTATTATCAATAGATTTGTTTAGGGCAGATTTTATATAGATGGTGTCCGTAAAGTGTGGACACAGGGAAACATATTAGCTATATTTTTTTTGTTACTTCTACAGGTTAAGCATGGTTTTGCCGAAAGAAGTAAGAATTAACTTTTTTAATGGGGTACGTTAACGGAGAAGGTTTATGCATTTAAAATCACAGATGCAACACACTTGGTTTGAATAAAGAATGAATGTGCTGAAATTAACGGTAATATGGAGTTACTGCATCGAGTTCACGCGAATCTTGCAAAGCGCATCAGCAATCAAAAATGATTGAAATCATATTGAAGATGCTATTTGTTAATAATACACTTCTATAAAATGTTGTTGAAAATTTAATCTTTTGAAAATATGCATTTTTGATAATGTATCCAGACTGTAGGGTTGGACCCGGTATTTAAAATTGAATATTAAAATTTCTTAACATTTAAGCTTTACGGATATCTCACATTAAATCAACTGTTCCCTTACGTTAACCAAAGTTACACAACGTCGTTTCTGCTCACTATCTGTATCAGTGTTACTCAGCATGATTTTATTTTTGCATAGAACCGTAGTGCCAGTTTAGTGCACCGTAAATATGGAGGTTTTTCATTAGCTTCTATTTATAAGCTCTCTACTGGGGATGTTCTGAAAGCCCAGAGTCCTTGTCTGACGTTTTGCATTGAGATTTTTTTAAGTACGACTTTGTGGGCGCCCCATATATGAAACTAGTGTAATCCAGTTTGAGCGATGTAGTGATCTGTATAACTTGATTAAGGTTAGTCGATCTGCTTCCCAATCAGTATGGGTCACGCAGGAGTTGTTGGGATTTGCTATATTTTGTTTTCAAATATTTTAGATGGGGAATGAAAGTTATTTTTTATTATCAATGATAATGCCTTGTTTTGTTCCGTGACTGGGATTTCTGCTAATTCTAATTTTAAAATCGGTCATTTTGCAATTCTCTTAATGTGAAGAAATATAGGCATTTGGTTTTCTTTTTGGAAACGCAAACCCATTTTCAGTGGCCCATTTTTGTATTTTATTGAGATATTGTTGAATTTATCTTTCAGTGGTATTCATATGCCTAGATCTGTAAATAATTAGATATATTGAGAGCTTATCACTATTGGGCTTAAGGGGTTTTTTTTACGATAGAGTTCATTTT